TTGGAAAAGCGTGCGCCTTGCTGCTGAGGGTATCCACCTTTTCACAGATGTATATGGCTGTATCATTTCAATCACTGTATCATTTCAATCAGCACCATGTCGCGCAGCACATCAGGGGTCCCATACTTGCTCGAGCAGCAAAAAATCACCGATTCCGAAACGGAGCCAGGACCTTACCAAGGGCATTGTGTCCATGACGAGCAAGCTCGTTTAGGGTCTGCAGGCTCAAGACATGTCTCACGGATCTCGAGAAGGACGAGCCGCCGCAGAGACAGCTCGGCTGGGTGCCGAACTGCGTGCTGTGCACTGTCCAAAGACGAGCAGTGCCCGGCAGTGCTTGGCAGTTTCATGATCATGTACTGAGCACTCCTTGTCTGTCATGTTGCGCAGACGCAATCTGAAGCATTTGAACCTTGCACCATTTGACTGCAGTTATTGGATCTGGTAGACAAGAGGGACAACAGGGCTCCCAAGGTCTAAGACTTGAGCCCGCAGGGCGACTGCGAGGGGAACCCAGTGCTTTCTGCCGCCCGCGCCCAGCCGCCGCACGCCCGCGCGTCAATCCGTGCGCACGTGGAGCTGGCCGCTGCTCCAGGTGCAGGTCGTGGGGCCATGGCCTCTGCCAGCGAGCTTGCGAGCACCCAAGCCGGAGCCTCGGAGTCCGCGCCGCGCGGGCTCGGAGCCCAGCCCGGTGCGTGCGAGCCTCGGAGCTGGAGGCGGAGCTGCAGTCCGTGAAGCGGGCGTTGCAAAGTGGAGTTGGATGCTTAGTTACTAGTAGCAAGTGCATCACTTTTAGTAGCAAGAAGCTACTAGCAACAAGGGCATCACTACTAGTTGCAAGAAGCTAGTAGTAGCAAGTGCATCGCTACTAGTAGCAAGTTAGATATGATTTCCCATATTTATATAGTGGTTTTGAAAGGTGCCTTGGCTGGTGAAAATGGGCATTCGGACTTCAGGCAGCCTACCTCGGACTTCAGGGTGAAGCACTTCAGAAGTACTTGCTCCAATTGAGCGAGAAGGAGCCTCTAGGGTGCTCCGTGCTGGGGGGGTTTGATCGTCTGGATCTTGAGAGGAGAATCTCTTGCTCTCCAAGCAGTTGCATTCCATGGCCACTTCCTTGGTCGACTCTTGACTCAGGTGGGTTTGAAAGTGGGAGGTGCTCCCCTGCCTGAGGCAGCTCAGGATAGCTTCGAGCCATTATTGCCGGCGACGGTCCACACCTCGTGAAGGGCAGGGAAGTTCTTGTCCGTCAGGATTTCCAAAAGTGGTCATGCTTAGAACTGTTTTTTTTCCCGCTTTGGCAATCTCTTCCAAAGCATTCAAATCCATGGTTTCACTGAAAGGTGATTCCGTCAACCAAGTTGGAGGAATCCTCCAACTCTCGGGCGGTTCGGGAGTTTTACTATGGCTTCTCTCTCCAAGGCATCTTCCGGACCCACGCGAGGATACGCAGCAGGGCATGTGACCAACGGGCTGGGGAGCCCAGATCATGATGCGAAGCTAGTTAGACACTAGGCTAGCGGCTAGGCATGCAAGACGATTGCAGAATGTAGTAGAAGCAGAGGTACATTTGTAGATCAGAGACTACCAACATACACCTCCATACGGACTGGCCAACAGCGAAAAGAAGCTTTGGGCTTTGAAACTGAATGGAGGGAGGTCTGGCTAACTCAGTTGACCTGCTATTTCGCAGGGCCCATCAGCCTGCGCGACCTGCACCAGTGGGAGATGCTAAGGCGCGACCTATCAACCCATATTGTTGTTGGGTAGGTGTGCACGCGACCCATCGCCAGTGCTTCATCTTCATTTGTCGCTGCATCCCTCGGGTCGCCGGGCCGGTTGGCCGCTGAGGCGTTCAACCGCGAGAATCTGCAAGATGTCTGGAGCCCGGGGGGGGCGAGCGTTGACCGCTCACGATCGAAACAATCGGACGTGGCTGACGTGGCCTTGGATTAGCGCACCCGAGCCCCGAAGAATTCGCGGACTTTCAGCGGGTCCAATGCTGGTGAGTCAACGAATGTCTGAAAGTCTGAGCGTTTTCCTTCAGGTTCTGACTCATATGGCAGAATATGAGGTGCGATGCCCTGCGATGTAGCTGAATTCGTTTGATTTCGTTTCCCCCTTTGGTTGGTGTGAGACCAACGGCAGGCGGTGCCGGCAGAGTGTGCCCGGATCTCGGTTATGATGGGGGATTGGGGAGCTCCTGACAAATCCCACGGGAGATGCAAAGCACCAAACATTTTCCTGAGATGCCTCCATTTTGCGGACCTTTTGGCTGGCTTCTGGGCGTGATAGCCTGCCAAGGCGAAGGCCTTGAAGGCACTGTCTTCCCTGGCCTATTCCAACGCACGGTCCGTGGGCAAGGTGGCGGCCATCCCTTCGAACTGACGCGGCGTCGGGGTTGAAGGGCGTTGAGCGGCGAGTGCTCGCTGCTCACATGGTCTTCAGGACGAGCGAGTGCTCGCTGCTTTGCCCGGTCCTGACACTTCGTCCATAGATGGAAGCAAGGGTGTTTGTAAAGTAAAGATGTCACTCCAAATCTCCCAATTTCCAAAAGCTACTGGGTTTGAACACCATCACGCTTTTTATGATTGGCAGTTTTGAAGCTTAAGGCTTAGAGCAGTCCGGTTGCACCAGTCAGAAGGTGCAGGAAACTCAGACTGGAGCGCAAGATCCTGAATCCACCTACCTGGTAATCACTTCTTATAGAATAGAGTGGTGCTTGCAAGTTGAGTGGGGTTTTGCTAATGCATATAAACATATATAATATTTACGGGTGAAACTACACTTAGATGGTTGCTCGCAAGAGCTAGGATCAGAATGAAGTCTCACTCTAGCGACTACAATGCCAGCTGCATTGTAGACCTTGACTGGTGAAAAGGACAGGTGCAAACCGAAGGGTGAAGAAGTCCACGGAATTGGAGATGTTTGAACAATGTTTGGCAACTCTTGGTACGCTAAGAAGCGGCTTAACAATTCAGCAGGTACGTCGATTTGGCGTCCCAAATCGATTTCACAGACCAATGCAAATGTCTTTGTTAGTGCCAGACTTGCACGGTCCCTGGCACCCCCTGCTTCTTTTTCTGTTTCTTTTTTGCATCCCTGCCTCTTCGTTCTCAATTAGTGGCGATGCCTTTGGTTCTAGCGGCCTCTTGTTCCTAGTAGCAAGGCCAGGAGCTACTAGTAGCATCCAGCCTTCTAGTAAAACCTGCGGCAGGCATACTTACCAGGCACAAACCTTGGAAACAGGTGTTAACACACTTGCACATACACAGTATATATATATATATACATATTGTTTTGTGTATATATATATATATATATTTGTGTAGATATATGTATATATATATTCTATATTCTGATATTCTACAGTATCCATTTCTATCCAACATATTTCCAGTTGACTCACAGATTTTTCCGAGTTGTGAGGTAATAGACATCAAGTCGATGAATCTGTGGACCGCATGACTGAGTCCAGGAAAATGATTCATTTTACCCCCGATGGGCCCATGGTGGATGGATTGACTACTAGGTGCAGCAGTTCAGGAGTCAAAACGGAAACTCTGGGTATGGACCGCATCAGCAATCAGCCACCATTTTGATCTATTTTGCCTCTTTTGTCACGGGAGAGTTCAACTTCTCGCACTTCTCGAAGTTGAGACTCGCTGAGGCTGTGCAGCTCACTGCCATGCGGGCGATCTCAAACATGGCTTATGACCAGGCGACGGATCTCCTGATCTCATTTGACGCAAGGTGACCTGAGCAAGGTACACGGTCAGTCGCCAGTTCAAGTCAAGCAAAAGAAAGCATCCCAACTGACCTTTGCCTCTGACTTGTTGGAGCTCGAGCCCATTTGCCCATCCAGGAAGTGGCCCTGACAAGACTAGCGAAGTCTGATGTGAACATCTCAGCCGAACGATGCGTCACCGCGTTTGCGCCCATACACCGGGATGACGAATGTGAGGTCATGGGGCAGCTGTTGACTTCCATGGCTTCGAAGTCTGAACCAAAGGATCCAGACGAACAGTTATGCTGCATAAGAGTGCTATATGAGTTTGCATATCTTTTTTTTCAATCTCTCTTTTTGACAGCTTCAGTACATGATCAGCATCAGATAATGTCCATCAGCTCTTGCACCTGCCATCAACTTCCTGTTTCCTATTTCACTCGGACTCGACCATCACGGTGAGGAGATTGCCGCCAGGGCCAGCGAAGCTCTGGCCAGAATCATTGCTGCAGAGGCTCGCCGGCGATTGGGCTCATATCTGCATTGCGACCGCATAGGGGGCCACGCTAAATCTCCGGACCCAGTTGATCCGGTTGACCAGTTGACCCCAACAAGCTGCTGCTGCTGCTACAACGACGACTACTACTGCTACTGCTACTGCTAACGACTGCCACGGGTCAACTAGGTTCAACTGGGTCAACTGGGTTCAACCCGGTCAACTGGGCCCACCACCACCACCACCACCACCACTATCACTATCACTACCACTAGCACGACCACGCCATCGCACAAAGTTAACCGGGTCAACTGGATCAACTGGGGCACCCTGTTCAACTGGGTCAACTGGGGCCATAGATTTAGAGGGTGGGTGTGCTTGGGAGAGCACACACTAGCTCAAAACCCTTAGACAACACAGTAAATACCGTGCAAAATTTCAAAAACTGCTCTGAGAACTAGGCGAAACGCAATTTGTTTGATCTGTTTGTGCCCAGTCTCCATGTCCAATGTCAATGACAACAAATAACAGCTCTTCGTCTGCCCACTATCAATGTGCAACACCAGGGATAAATATTATCAGGTAAATCTCTCTCTTTGCCCACAATGAATGTAGCATCATGAGCGAATGAAGATATAATACTATACATCTCTAGATTCAATAGCTTTCCTCTGGATCTTTGGGAAAGTAGATTTCCTAGATTTTTGTATTTTCATTGAAGGAAAGCATTTGAAAGAAACACTTACATACATACTATAGCTTTTTTAAAATACCATGACTATTTCCAGAGATCCAGAGGAAAGCTTTTGAAATGAAAGCTTTATATTTTTTCACAGAAGTGATCAGATCTAGAGGGAACCTTTTGAATTAGAAGCTTGTACATAAAGCAGTTTTAATATAGCAATGATTATTCCAAGGGATTACTTTAAACAAATACTATCTACTCAAAAACATAGTTTTTGTCTTATTCCCAGCACTCCTAGGGCAAAAAAACACTGTAAAATATAGGGTTTTGTAACATGTGTGTTCTTAAACTAACTAAACTGGAAATAACATAGAATTAGGCAAACTTAAATTAGAAGATTTCAAGCAAGATCCTTTTAACATTGATTGTGGAATTTGCTATTTATTAGATATTAAATTGCAATAAAGATCATTTCCAGGGTCTCTTTAAAACTCATTGTGGAAACTAGTTCTTACAATTAGATTTTAGTTAACGTCCTTTTCAAAGTTAGTGGTGGCTTCGATTTAATATCATATTGTGTTTAAGA